TGTAAAAAACAGAAAGACAGCAAGAATGGTGCATGCTTGTAGTCCTAGCACAGGGGGTGGGGTTGGGGACACTGGGGAGGGTGGATCACCAGTTCAAAGCTAACCTGGGCTACATAGACAAAAACAGGAAAAAACAAAGAGCAAGAAGAAAATTAGAGGAAGAAGAAAAGGCATCATAGATCTTCATCCTCCCAGGTACAGCCAGGGACAGGTGTCTACAGCATCCCAGGTACAGCCAGGGACAGGTGTCTACAGCATCCCAGGTACAGCCAGGGACAGGTGTCTACAGCATCCCAGGTACAGCCAGGGACAGGTGTCTACAGCATCCCAGGTACAGCCAGGGACAGGTGTCTACAGCATCCCAGGTACAGCCAGGGACAGGTGTCTACAGCATCCCGGGTACAGCCAGGGACAGGTGTCTACAGCATCCCGGGTACAGCCAGGGACAGGTGTCTACAGCATCCCGGGTACAGCCAGGGACAGGTGTCTACAGCATCCCGGGTACAGCCAGGGACAGGTGTCTACAGCATCCCGGGTACAGCCAGGGACAGGTGTCTACAGCATCCCGGGTACAGCCAGGGACAGGTGTCTACAGCATCCCGGGTACAGCCAGGGACAGGTGTCTACAGCATCCCGGGTACAGCCAGGGACAGGTGTCTACAGCATCCCGGGTACAGCCAGGGACAGGTGTCTACAGCATCCCGGGTACAGCCAGGGACAGGTGTCTACAGCATCCCGGGTACAGCCAGGGACAGGTGTCGAGTGGGCCAGAGCACTCTATTCACACTGCTCAGACACTGGGGCCCAGGCAGGAGCTGGGCGAGACACCAAGAACCTGAGACACCTGACCCAATTCTGTAACTAACCACAGAGTCAACCACCACAGAACAAAAATATGTGAACAAAGAAAACAAATAACCACCCCTCCCAAAAAACAATGCTAGCTGCAGATTTCTTGTTTTAATGATCTCCCCCTAAACAAGATAGTGTAACATCATACACGGGGCACTGTGCTGGCTAGTTTTATGTCAACCTGACACAAGCTGGAGTTGTTTGAGAAGAGGGAACCAGAATTGAGAAGACGCCCCCATCAGACTGGCCTGTAGGGCATTTTCTTGGTTCTGTGTGATGTCAGCAGCTGTTCCCATATGGCCTAAGGAAGAACACTGAGCCACGGGGAACCAGCTAGCTAGCAGCAATCCTTCACCGCTGGCCTCTGCATCAGCTCCAGGTCCCTGTCCTGCTGGAGTTCCTGCCCTGAATTCCCTAATGCTGGACTGCAAGCTATAATTCGAAATAAACCCTTCCCTTCCCAAGTTGCTTTAGAGCATGGTGTTTATCACAGAACAGAAACCCTAACTAAGACAGGCACTTAGCATTGTGTCAGGTGCTGTATGTAACCTAGAGGTGATTTGCCGGATGTGGGCGGGTGTGCACAGGTTACTCTAATCAAAGAGCCTCCTGCATCTGTAGGGTTGGTATCTCCAGGGGGTCTGGGAACCAACCTTCCATGGCTACCCAGGGACAACTATGGCCTCAGCCTCCAGCCGTCTCCTTTTCCTAACTGTAAGCAGATATCCAATGGGAATACAGCCGTACAGTGGGACAAAACAAGGGGTTCAGAGAAAAGCAAGCCACCCAAAGAGGGGAGGCACTCTCAGCAGACACAGCTTTCTCAGCAATCTCAAGCTAGCGGTGCGGTGGTGGCGCACGCCTTTAGTCCCAGCACTCGGGAGGCAGAGGCAGGCGGATCTCTGTGAGTTCGAGGCCAACCTGGTCTACAGAGCTACACAGAGAAACCCTGTCTCAAA